TAGATAGATAGATAGATAGATAATTAGCACTTGTATGGCTCAACCTATTGCCAAAACCCAAACTGCTGCTTCGTACTGTACTCCTGTGAGGTAAGTAAAAGAGTAGCAGGAGCTAGATTAAATCTATTTTGTTCCTAAATTCATTATTTTATAATCCATCATAAAAGTATTAAATAAAATTTTTGTTATGACATTTGCCCTAATTTATTTTCCTGATTTTGGCAGCTTGTCCTTAGCAATTTACTTTTGCCTGTGTCCTGTAACTGGAAACAATTTATGAAGCAAGAAATCTGCTCACTTCATGTGATTGTAATTAATGTATGTCTAATTGTCCTTTAGCAACATTGCCAAATACACTTACCAGTGTAAGAAATAATAGATCATACTGGAAAGCTTTAAACCACACCAAACACATATTGTGTACGGGAATGAGACTGACTGAGACTGGCAAGAATGGCAAAACTCTACCTGGTTTAACCCCCCCAGTCAAAAGCAGATCGAACAATGATGGGATTTAGCCCCCACAAATTAACAATGGAATCACAATGTCCAAAAAACTGTAGGCTTACTAGGGCTTTCAAGGGAGTTAGAAAAATTCAGCAAAGTTTAAGCTAAAAAGGCTCACAAAGTATGGCACTATTCATCCCAAAAGAAAATATTCACTACCACTAGTCCTTCTGACAAATCTTCTGTATTTGCTTCTGCTCAAACATGACTTGATCTTAGTTCCATTGAAGTCAATGGCAAAACTCATAGCAGTTTCACTGGTAAAGGATCATAGCAAAAAAACTGCTTTGACTTCCATTTCTCAAGCAGACAAATTTTGAGACTCCATTATATGGCCATTGCATGAGAGAAAATCCCACTGGCTTCAACAGAGGCTGTTGCCCTACAGCACTTTCATAAACAGGTCCTTGAAGCATAATTTTGTCCATTTTCATATTTCTCAATCCTTCCTGAGTTGCTGAGAATTAATCAGTGATTTTGTAATGCAAAATTCATTTCGCATTTTTTTCATCTACCCAGTCATCTCCACTTTCTAATCTTTAATTACATTAAAAATGTAGAGTGCAAGAGTGTTTTTTGGGCTGAATATATTTAACACAATGTCACTTACTAGTTTAAAAACAATCCTTCCAACAAGTCTCACAGAGTCAGGAGGAATATTGGGCTCAATGCTCTTAAGACACCTGCATTCCCGTTTGTGGTCCTGCCAGTCTTCTTTCTATAATATTAGGGGAGAAAAGAAAAAAAAAGATTTTAAAAAACCACCCACAACCAACAAGAAGATTACTGAATACTTTTAGACAAACACAGGCACTAATAAGACAAACTATAGAGCAGTGGTCCCCAACCTTTTTTTGCCATGACCCGCTGCTGGGAGCAGAGTGCGGCAGTGGCTGCCCAGGGACTGGGGAGCTCCTGGCACATGATGCAGCTCGTCTTGAGTGCAGCGCTGCCAGCATTGCTCCCACAACACTCATGTGGGTCATGACCTCAGGTTGGGAACTGCTGCTATAGAGGGAACCAGTAGTAACCTAAACATTTTGGTCATTTAACCCTCTTGGTCATCTTTCAGCCTTTTCATTACTTGCAGCAAGCTGGTGCCACACAGCAGGGGAAAGCCCTTGCCATAGGAGTCAAGTTTTGTTCTGTTCCATATAGAATGTTTTATGCAATTTACTTAATGATGTCATTTGTATGCTTATGGTCAACACAGCTTGGCCCAAGCAATGACAATGTTGGGTCACACAACTTGACTAATGTAGCAGTTGTGGCAGAGGCAGGTGCTTGAGAGCATCTAGGGAGAGGGCCAAAGGATCTGAATGGGAAATTACTGGAGTAACTAGGCAGGTGGCTACTAAGGCTGATAGCACTGCTGGGGTTTGGAAGTGCTGGGAACTCCCAAGGTCTTCACTGAAATGAAGAAAAAGCTGGTGCAGATTCTGCTGAGGGAGAGGTGAATCATGGGAGGGCGGACAAGTGCTAAAGCTAAGTGGGAAATCCGATGGTTGGGAGCACTGGGCAGCTAGTACCCAGTGTAGTGAGAGTGAGGGAGTCTGCAGCCTATATTGGGCTCCATACCTTACAACTACTCCAGCCCCTGCTTCTTGCTCTTTCTTCCTGGCATTAATCCAGCAAGGGAAGTAGCAATAGAAGCAGCACCACAGAAGTGTCTACCTACCAAAATACAGAAATGCCTGCAATCATCCCCCAGCTCAGCAAAATGCATGACAGTTCAGCTGAAGTGAGGGAATATGCCGCAGCTTTGCCAAATGTATGAGCATCACCTAAGATGTGTGGCACTTGACAGCCCTGCCTCAGGCTAGGGAAGTGCTTTTCATTTGTCCCATGAAACTCCCATTCAGAGTTTGCTGGAATTCAACCTGTTAGAGGCACTAAGGGGAAGGGACAAAAACACGTCTC